TTTCTGTAGATGCTGGTTTATTCCCTCTCCTCATAGAAACTGACTATTTTGAGGCAATTATGATAATTAATTCAAGGGAGATTATTTGGGCTAATGTTGGCAACATTGTGGATGATGTGAGAGACTTGCTCGTGCAATTTTCTTTAAAGGAAGTCCAATTTCGACCTAGGAAGCGTAATAAAGTGGCTCATGTTATTGCCCATTTTGCTTTACGCAAATAAGGTCCTTATTATTGGTTAGAAGAAGGCCATGTGTGGCTAATGAATTGTATTATTGATGACCTTTGTAACCAATACTTCCGGTTAATGAAATTTTCTTCTTCGATTAAAAAAAAAAAAAAAAAAAAAAAAAAAAAAAAAAAAAAAGGGGGCAAGGTTAATTATTAGAATAAAACAAACTAAAAACAAAACCACCACTCCACATCCTCTTGGGCAACTCGAAGAGAGCCATAGCGTCATATATATCGACTAAACCCATAGTGCCACACTGGCTAAACTCGAACCCGACACAACACAGCATCATCCCCGTTTCATAACTCCAAATCTATATCAAAGGCTGACAACTGGAGCTAAATCCTTGCATGCATAGGCATTAACCTTGATTAGTACATGTGTCCTAATTTATTGTTAGCGACCTCTTGAAAGGTTATTCATATTTCCTAGAATTCTTAGAATTTTTCCTCTACCAAAGAATTATAGGTTTTTATAAATAAGTCCATTTTAACATCACATATTATAAAAAATCGACATAAAGTTATTTGTCATTTTCTAATTGGTTCTTAGTGCGGACTTCCACTAAAAGAATAAATCTTTTTCAATCTCAAACTTCTATAATTTGAAAATGATATGATCATTTGGATAATATTCGTCAACGATAGGGACGTAGGTTTTGAATAAAATATTCCAAAAAAAGAAAGACAGTAAGATTACTCAAGATAAAAAAGAAAGCAAGTCAGAATCCTTTCTCATCCGCCAAACTTGACCGGCAGGCAGAGGTGTCAGCGAAGGTACGCGGAAGGTGTCACGTTATTTTCTATCATCTGATTGCAGTCACGTGCGAGACGTAGCTAATGGGCACAAAACACGTAATGCCAAGCCAGTATTTTTAATTTGTCTGTAGTTATTGTCTGTGTTCGAGCTGAAGCTGAGACTGAAAGTATCAAACTGAGGAAGGACACGTCACACATTTCGTGGATGCATATGAAAAATGCGTTAACTAATGTCCAAAAATAAAGGAGTCCATTCAAGCCTTATCGGGTCGGGTCCATAATGGGGGAAATGTTCGTTTGTCAAATACGATAGTGACATGTCATCATTGCCAAATAATGTGTTTCTTGATATTTCTTATTCCGTGTGAGGAGATACTTATTCTTCCTCCGAATCACAGTTTGACACATATGCAAAAATAATTAATAAAAAACACAAAATATTACAGGATAAGGAGGAAAGTATTTTTCTTTTTTATATAATGTGTTTGAGGTAAGTTTGGTATTGTGAGATATTTTCACTATATTACACTTGATATTTTCATGTAATATTGTTATGTTTTAGAGTTCTGTTGACCAAAAAATAAAAATAAAAAAATAAGAAAAAAGAAGAAGAGAAAAACGTATAAATGGGTCAAATGAAACACCAGACAACATATTTACTAATGAGTTCGAGTTTATATATTTGGACAAAACAATTTAACCAATCAAATTTGAGTTTAAGATAATTTCACATGACACGAATACGTTAAAACACGACAACTTAACAATCTAGTAACTACTGATCACATTTCTTGTCATGAAGAGTAACAAAACTCATAAGATTCATGATCATGCGAATTAGGAATGTCATATTCAGAACGTTTTCCTTTTTTACTAATTTATATATTTTTTTTTAAAACAAGCATTCTTACTAGTGGTGGCCACCAATATATCCATCCAAATATGTATCAACTAATGGGCTACAATTTTTCTTCCACTATAATACACTCAGCAATTTTGGCTAGATCATTGATGATAGTGCTAGACTGGACTGCCCATAAAAATTGGCTAGCTAGACAGACAACTAAAACTGATTGGTCCTCCTTCATGCAGCATGCTTTGCCCTTTGATAATGGTATATGTACGTGTACCGCATACCCATGCGATTGCGCCTTAAATCAAGAACAAGGAAAAGGGGGTGAGAGACAAGGAAAAGGGAGGTGAGAGGCAAGAAAAAGCATTACAGAGAATTTTCCTGATGTGAGATTGTGCACAGGATAACTTAAAAAATTTAAAGTGTTGTGCACATTTTTCTAACTTTATATGTTCGTTTGGGAGAGATTTTGAATAGGTCAGAAAACACTTCTATGGATAATCACATATAATAGTTTAAGTGATTTATGGAGAAACATATGAGACGTGCTTCTCACTTAAAGTGATTATATGAAAAAGTGTATGAGAGATGATTCTTTTCAGAAGTGATTCTGCCCTATCCAGAATCACTCCTGAACGTTACACGAGTCTAATTTACGAATTTCTTATTTTCCCTTATTGTACTATATATATACGAGTCTCCCTCGTATCAATATGTTTTTTTCTTTAAAATTTTATTCTTATATATAGAGATTTTTTGTTGGACATGAACTCTTATTTCCATTTTATTTCATAATTATTTACATTTTAATAGACTATTGTTTCGTGTATTGGTCCCTTTATAATGAAGTTGTGTTTTGAAATTTTTTCTTAATCAAGAGCAATTTTGAATTATTTGAAAATTTAACAATAAAAACCTTTTGCTCTAAGAAATATTTACATTTTTTTTTTTAATTATTAAAAAAAGTAGTATTAGAAATTAGAAAAATAAAAAAAAAAAAAAAAACAAAAAAAAAAAAAAAAAAAAACCAAAAAAGAATAGAAAAAAAAAATTTCAAACAAATCCCTCCTACTCCATCAGTTAATTAATAGATCCACTAGCAACTAGATAAAATAATAGATCTACTAGCTAAAACCAAGTTATAATTAACAACTAGATATGTATCTCAAGACTAAGATAAAATTAGTAGCCAATTGGCATTAGTGCCGTTTTCACTCTCTCCCAAGACTAAGATAAAACCCTAGCCCCCTCTATCAAGACTAAGCTAATTGGCATTAGTGCCAATCCAACTAACACCCCAATAGGCAAGTTATATACTTATCTAAAAGTTTATTTATTTATTTATTTTGAGAGGATAGTTGACTAAAAGTTAAACTAGTTTTGTTTAGTGTTTACGTAATTAATTAAGAGTTAAGAATTCATGATGGGCTAGAATCATTTGTGCTTGGTCATTAGTCATTTGATGGCTGAAATAAAGAAGGAAAAGAGCAAGATCCTAGGTGTGTATGAGAGAAAATTCGTGCCTCCCTCCCCATGAGCCATACAGAGAAGTTAGCCACATTTTCTCCTCCCTCAGTAATACTTATCACTCATATATGGTGTGTACGTCTTTCTAGTACCAAAACAACGACCATAACCTTCTCTGCATCACCATTGCCTCACGCGGACTATATTTTAGAGGCCGTACACTTCTGGGGCTGGGTGAACTTCGTGGCGGTGAAGAACAATGAAAATCGGTTTCAAGCCTCAGTCGGTTTCAAGCACATGATAGGGGTAAGTTTCCTAACTAACTCTCTTGTTTTTATGTCTGCATTATTGATCAAATATGAAGATAAGATACATAGGAGAAGTAAACTTTTGTATATCCGCTGCGTTTAGTTATTTTATGTGCATATTTTCTAACAAAAGCCGCGGTGTGGTTTGAGAGGTTATGGGGTTTGCATGGATGTTATTAGGTGGGTTCGGGCGGCCATGGTGGTGGGTTGGGCTAGAGGGGTGGTCGGTTGGTTGCTATGGTAGCTGGAATGAGTTTAATTTGTATATGGTTTATCCAAGTTTGTTTATGTTATATCCTAAATCTAAGATGATAACGAAGTAGCCACTTTTGATCTATGCAAAAGCCAATAAAAACTAACAGTCCTGATCTCTTGGACTATAGGGGTTCAAGAGATTTGTGGTCACTCACCGTTGGATGTAAATTCAACGGTTCACTCACTCTTGCACTCCTTTTAAGAAACTTTTTTTGAACCATTGGATTAATATCCAACGGTAGGTGACCACAATCTCTTGGACTCCTGTGGTCTAAGAGATCGGGACTATAAAAACTAATTACATTAACACCATTTTTGTTGCAAATGAAGTTATTGGTTGAGATAAAAGATATTCAGTTGGCTTGGAAACATGTTTTGGTTGGAGAGATTAAAGTATTGCAACTTAGATGAGTGAGTTCCTATAAGTGATTCAAACCAGGTTTAGGAAGGCAAGATAATTTTGATTGCTGCAAGATGCATATGATTTGGATTTTTGTTAAATTCTCTTGCTAATATACACATTGATAAATTTATTTAGTTAGTTGAATATAGCTTCTATGGGAACAAATAATTCATCTTCCAATCACAAGATGCCACATGGACAAGAAGAATATCTCCTAGGTGAATTAATTAAACCCATTTATTTGGAAATTAATTGATACAAAAAATAGGGATATTATCTTAAAAATGGATATTATCTTTATTTAAAAAGATAATATCACCAATTAAGATAGAGTTTTTCTATGTTCACCCCATATTCTAAGTTCACCCCAACTTCTAATTCAATTTTTCACAATTTCTAAGAAAACCCCACTATCTTATGAAACTATTACCAAAGTTAGCCGATGCTTATTCCCCAGATACCGTCATTGCTTCTTCTCCGGGAAAAGAAGTTCACGACCCATAGGCCTTCCACCTAAATATACACTCATGAACCTCACACCTCATACCCCACACCCCGCTATCTTGCCCCTCACCATTGTAAGTTCACCTCAACCTCACATTACTTGAGATAAAAACACTGTTGTCAAATGTGTAGCTTAGGGACTCGTGCACTTTATCCAAACTCTTGAGTTGCGTACATGTTAGTCTTTTATGTGTGCAACATCTTCCTGAAGACAGACCAACCATGTTATTCGTGATTCTGATGTTAGGTGATGAGTTCCCCTTGTCTCAACCCAAAACACCAGGTTTCTCTAGTGGAACATATTCGTCTGAAGTAGATTCTTCTTCATGTAAGAACTTAACATCAAGTAAGAAGGAAAAATCTTCAAACTATGACTCTACCATAATGTTGCCTTAGGCTCTATGAGATTCAATTAATTGTAAATCTTGCACCATGTAATTTAGTCAAGGCATTATTCATAGCTATGTTGGCATGAAATTTTCCCACATAAATAGTCAAATTATATAAAAATTGCAATAGTAAAACTTAATATGGTGTAGAGGAGTTATTGTTTTTCTAAAACTTAATATAAAGAGTGGTGGGGTGCGTGGTGTGTGTATAGATGTACTAAGGGTTAAGTATTAAGTTGGATGACCTTTTTTTATCGTTTTACACAAAAATAAAACTTAAGCTTAATGATTTAAGTATTGGGGTGAACAAAGAAAAGTGTGTAGGGTTTAAATAGAAAAACACTTAAGATATTATCCTAATTTGGAGATGTCGTCATCAAATTAGGAGATTTGATCCCAATCAAATCCCTAATGGACTCAATCTCTACAATTTGGGGAAAGAATAAACTCCTTCTAAATAAGAGTTTATTCTTTGAAAAAACCCTATATGTCTAAAGCCCTATAAATACATGGTTTTATTCAACACTCAAGGTAATCTGAATTCTAATTCTAAACCCAATCCCGAAACCCTACAAAATTATCCACTTTCTCTCCCTAGCCGATGACGCCACCATCGCCGCCGGCCACGCCTCTCTCCTCTCTCCATATTTTTCATACAAGGCTCTGGCCACCACGCAAGGCTTCGACTACTCGGTTCTATTTGTAGAGAAATCTTCGTACCCCTTTTTAGTTATTGTTTCTCCTAGATACAATCAACCTAACTTAGGCATTAAAGGGCCTTTGGCCAACACCCCCGAGCGTGGTGTATTTACTCCCTTTTTTTTTTCAGGGACCTTGGAAGAGAGAGAAGGAAGATCAAAGGTTGAAGAATCCACAAGTGAATACTCTCCTGTGAAGATTTTTGCACAAACATTTGGTGTTTTCACTGAGATCACCAACTTGGTATGCGCTGCTACGCCACCTCATGGCTCCACGACGGAAGGAGCACCACAGCTGCTAGGCTTTGCTGTTGAAGCCGTCGAGCTGTTGCACGGCCCCGTGGTTGAAGCTAGCACGCCCCTCCGCAGTGATACCGTCGTGACCTTGTTGCCGTACCACCACACGCTTGGCCTTGCTAATGGATCCGATGCACTCCACCACCACATCGCCGCCCACAGCCAACTTGGCACCATCACCAATTTTGGCCCAATCTTGGAGCAACTTCACTCATTTCCTCATTTGCCGCCGCCCTTGATGTATGCTCCATCGTATGCCTCTAATAAAACACTAGCCCGTGTGCAATTGGGCTCCACACACATTATATAAAAAAGGAAAATACTGTTATGTCTCAAGCAGGTTGAGTAGGAGTAAATAGACAAGGAGAAGGACAAGAACGTGACCAGCATGCTAGCATGTCTCAACCATCCTTGAGCCATGCTCAGAGAAGACGAAGTCTCCAATCAAGGCTGAGTTCAAGGGCCAATGTGGATGAAAGGCTTGACCAGTGACTTGACATTCTCCATGTGCTTCTTTTCCTAGGTCCAAAGACCCATCTTCCTCTTCCACACAATTAGTCATAGCAAGCACCACCAACGAGTTTGCAATCCCAATTCGTAATATTTGTTCTTGAAATGGGTGGATTGGCATTGACTTTTAATTTTGTTTGAAACAGAAGCATTTATTTGTTTGAAACCCAACAAAAAATTTCCAAGACAGACTTGAAAAAAAGTGATACGACAACAATAAAATAGCAATACAATGCCAATAAGATGACAATAATAAGAGAATAAAAAAAAGAAATTTCAGATTTATTGTGTGTATATTGCATGTTTCTTGAGTGTGTATTGCTTGTTTATTGCGTGTTTATTGCATGTATATTGCTTGTTTAATGTGTGTGTATTGCTTGTTTATTGCATGTATATCGCATATTTATTAGGGTTTAGTGCATACACAATAAAAAATCAATACACATGCAATAAACATGCGATATAAACGTAATAACAAAGCAATACATAAGCAATAAACAAGCAATATACACGCAATAAACATACTCAACAAGATATTACTCTAATACAAGCTCTCTCCCTTCTTGTTTTTGGTCCATTCTTCGATTATTATCTTATTGGAAATGTTCTATTGGAGTATAAGTTGTCTTCTGGTGTACTTGCAAGTGCTTCTTATATATATTAATCTGCAATATCTGAGTTTGTAGAAACAAAATTCTAATGAAGCTTTTGTATATCGCTCCTTTATGGAGTGTATATTGCTTGTTTATTGCGTTTGTATTGCTTATTTATTGCGTGTATATAATATATGTTTATTGCATGTTGATTGTTTTGCTGCTTCTTTTGGACAATATGTTGAACAGTTGGTGAGCAATTTTTGCCCACCCATTAATTCAGCACCTCCCGAAGTCAATATCTTTTGCCCAGGTGGTGGTTTCATTTTAAAACACTGAATTTACAGTTTAATTAAGTATCTTAAGATGTTAAGCAACAAAACAAACACATCAAATAATGGAGGAGCCAAGAATGGTACACAATACACACGAACACTAGGAAAACATCATTAAAGAAGAAAAAAAAACCCAAAAGATAAGAACATAAGTGCAGACCTCACCGAAGGACCCAAAAAAAAATCAGCTGCGAGTTGGAAGAGATAACTAAGAGGAGATGAGGTTAGGCAAGATGAGGTGGATGGTGGAGGTGGATTTTCTGTGAGGTTTCGCATAAGGAGGAAGAAGAAGAGAAAAAGACTAGAGAGAGAAGATGATTTGAGAGAGCAACACCGAGAAGAAAAAAAAAAGTGATAGAGGGGCTATATGCAGCCAATATGGAGTTTTTATAGCATTGTAGTTGGGGACATTTTTAATGTGTTTCTATAGGAGGGCATTTTTTTAATAAATTAGTGAAGTCGGGGGTAAAGCCGCCAATTCTCATGAAAGGAAATAACTCCCTTCCAATGTGGGACTAAGTGAAAGTGTATTTTCCTATACAAACCCTAACACGGTTTTGAGTAGGCTTTAGGAGAAGCCATACAGGAAGCACTTAGACTTGGCCTTGTGGCTTCTCGAGACCAAGTCTTCATCACTTCAAAGTTATGGATTAGTGATGCTCACCCTCATCTTGTGATTCCTGCTCTACAGAAATCTCTTCAGTGAGCACTCTCACAATCGGATCACAACTAATACAGATTACGTTGGTTCTTAATTTTTTTTTTCAAGCATTGGAATCTTTGTTCTGTTTTGTGCTGTTTCTCTATTGGGGATTTGTCTGTGTTTTAGTTTTTGTGTGCTATTAAGAACATTGCATATGTTCGCCAAATTTTATTACTGACAAACGGCGTTGTAGTGTTTGATTGATTCAAACTTGGGTCTTCTTCAAACATCGTTTGCTATTAACAAGGTATTGACATGTAAACTTGCACATCATTTGGTAAATAAATATGGTGACTCTGACATTATATTTTAGTATTTTATATTCTTTGTACGCGTTGACTTACACATCATTTGGTGAATAAATCTGGTGACATTATATTATAGCTTTTTATGTTGTTTAGAGTCTTCTTGTCTTCGTAGTATTTCCGAAGCACCAAGTGTTGCTATTTTGGGGGCTCAACTTTCCCTGCCTTGTACCTTCTGACCAAAACTTAAAATAAAATTTTAGAGTGAATGAGTTATAAACTACTTGCTTCAATTGGAGTTCCTTGACCTGTACCTCATTCACTGGCCCATCAGTGCTAAGCCAGGAACATTGGTGTATCCACTAGTTGCAGAGGACCTTATGCCCATGGACTTCATGGGTGTGTGGGCAGCCATGGAAGAGCCATGGAAGAATGTTAGAGACTTGGCCTCACCAAATCCATTGGAGTCAGCAATTTCTCTACCAAAAAGCTTAAAAATGTACTCTCTTTCGCTACTATTCCTCCTTCGGTGAATCAAATGAGAACATTTATTTCCTAGCATGGGTAATGGATTGTTCTGTTTCTATACATGGAATGGTTTTCAACGTTTTTGAACAAATAAAATTTTAGTTTGTGAGTCTATGTAAGTGGTGTGGATATTTTGCTGGTGGAGACGAACCCATTTTGGCAACAGAAGAAGTTTAGAGATTTCTGCAAGGCCAATGGTGTAATTGTGACTGCCTCTTCTCTCCTTTGGGTGGCATAGGGTCCTTTTTGGGCAGCAATCATGTTTTGGAAAGCAAAGTTCTTCGAGACATTGCTGAGGCTCGGGGAAGGACGGTTACTCAGGTAATGTTCTACTACATTAACATTCTGGAGAATCACTTCTACAACGTTATACACAAACGAAACTATATTAAAATAGGCAAAACGTCACTTTTGGTCTCTGTGGTTTATCACTTTTACCACTAAGGTCCCTGTGGTTTCAATTTGATCACTTTTGCCCATGTGGTTTCAATTTGAAGCAATTAGAGGACAATTCTTAATTTCTGTCAAATTCTTCTAACTTCTGTTACTTATTAAGGGGCAATTTGGTCCAAAAATTATTAAACGATTTCTTCCTTTTTTAAATAAATAATGTAAATATAAATTTTTAGGGAAATTAGTTTTAAGTAAAAAAAATCCTGAGAACCTTCCCCCTAGTTCGCATGGATTGGAGTGAGGACTGCAAGGCCGGAGATGAAAGGGAGAAACAAGATGAGGTGGGTTGAGTTACAAGATGAGGAGAAGGAGAAGGGTGTTGAAATGTAAATTGACTAGCTAATTTCTTGTTAGTTAGTAATTTACTTAGTCTGTTTTTACTCTTAGCTTCATTAAGCATTATGTTAGTTAAGTGACTTGAGCTCATATGCCAAGTGTAAGGTGTAAAGCAGTTAGCTAGTTTTCAACGGCTCTTAGGCCTTGTACTGCCATGTGTCACATTCACATTGGCCCTTGTAATAGAATGGTACTGATTGGTTGATGTAATGAGAGAATGAGAAAGAATACAAAAGGTGTGATCTCTGCAACGCTTTTGCAAATTGCACCAAAGAACATTTCCAAATTCTGTTTTCTCCTAGCTGCCTCTCTCACTCTTTAGATCTTGAGCTCCCTTGATAATCCAAAATCCATATCTTAACATGGTATCAAGAGCGAAGGTTGGATCTGGAAATGGGCGTCGGAGCTGAGCTTTGAAATCCAACGTGAAATTTCAGACTCAGTTCATTGATTCAGATCTCAAATGGCTGGGTGAAATGGTGGTGATCTTCGGGTTCCAATATTCAATGGTGAAAACTATGAATTCTGAGAGATTCGGATGAGAACCATCTTCAAATCACACGGACTTTGGGATTTAGTTGAAAAGGGACTTGGAATCTCATAATCGACAGGAAAGAAGATTGAGGCAGCGGGGTCGTCAGAATCAGAGAAAGAAACTCTGTTAATGAAGGATGCTAAGGCATTGGGTAGTATTCAAGAGGCTGTCTCAGACGACATTTTCCCTAGGATTTCGAATGAAGAAACCTCAAAGGGTGCTTGGAATTTCTTACACCAGGAATTTCATGGTGATAAGCAGGTCAGATCTATCAAATTGCAGGGTTTGCGACGTGATTTTGAGTACACAAGGATGAGGGATGATGAGACCTTGTCTGGGTATCTCACTTGCTTACTTGAGCTTGTGAATCAGATGAAGGGATATGGGGAAGATCTATCTAAAGGAAGATTGGTTCAAAAACTGGTCATAAGTCTGACCAAGGAGTTTGATCCCATTTGCTATGTGATTGAACAAACGAAGGATATTGAGACTATTGAGGTACAAGAAGTGATTGCTGCATTGAGGGGGTTTGCTCAACGGCTTGATAGATACATGCTGAGAGCACTACTGAGAGAGCTTTTAGCAGTATGAGCATAAACCAAAAGGGATCTCAGCCAAATTCTGATGTTGGTAATAACAAATCAAAGAAGAGCTGGAAATCAAAGGAGAAGAAAGGGGATGCTAAGCCTCAAAATTATGTCAATCAAGGAGGTAAGCATGGTCAAGGAGACAAGTCCGAATAGGGCATTGTGACAAGCTGCACTATGGTGAATGCTGGTTTAAAAGGAAACCAAAGTGTCATGGCTGCAATCGGTTTGGGCACTTCATCAAGAACTGTGATCAAGCAAACAAGGCAGGGAAGCTTGCTAACGTTGCAAATCAGGTAACCGAACCCGCAACTATGTTTTATGCATGCCACTCTGCTACCATTGGAAAGAATGTGAATATGTGGTATGTTGATAGTGCATGTAGTAATCACATGACCTCCCATGAGTCTTTGCTTGTGGATATTGATAAGAATGTGAGCTAGAGCACCATCTACAAATTCTTGAATATATGGCCAGAGTAATTCTTGGCTGAGGTATTGATCACGTGGACCAAATGGGATTCTAATAATATATGCTCCACTGCTTTCTTCCAGATCACCATCACCATCTTCAGGACCTGCAGTTAGCATCTCTGCTGGTTCACCATAACTCCAATCAACCTCAGGAGATGACACTTGGCGAGTAAAGAGATCTACCCTATAAACCCCAGGCATCCTTGCAAGAGCTCGAGAAAGCTCTACCACATATTTGACCTGATATTGTTTTCATAAAGCCGAACACAGATTCAAATGCAAGTAACAGGAAGACAAATTTATCTTTATTCCATGTACTCAGAGAAATGCTATGGCCATCAGATACCTGTCCACCTGTATCAGAGTCTCGACCGAGCTCCATGTTTTCTCCCCGGACCAAACTAATGGCTCGTCTGCACCTATCCCTTGGTAATTTTAAAATTGTAATTTTCTTTAATTTATATTAATATTGTTTCTTTTTAAGGAATAAGTTTTGGACCGAAATACCCCTTAATAAGTAACCAAAGTTAGAAGAATTTGACAGAAATTGAGGATTGTCCTTGAATTGCTTCAAATTGAAACCACAGGGGCATAAGTGATTAAATTGAAACCACAGGAACTTTAGTGGTAAAAGTGGTAAACCACAGGGACCAAAAGTGACGTTTATTAAGAAGAAGGAAACTCTTGTTCATTTTAACAAAAAATCGCCAAGCAAATTCAAATGTATATAGTTTGTGGATGGACTAAAACTGGGTGACTTTGTTGTACTTTGGCAGGCTTGTATTAGATGGGTGTATCAGGTAGGGGCAACTCTTGCTGTTAAGAGCCACAACAAGGAGAGGTTGAAACAGAATGCAGATCTTTGACTGGGAACTATCAGAAGATGACCTTGAAAGGATCAACAAAATCCCACAGCGCAAAACGATGCTTAGAGAAGAGTTGGTTTCGGCTAATGGATTATCACCATACAAGTCCCTTGAAGATTTATGGGATGGAGAGCTTTAACCTTTGTTATGTTAATTGTTGCAAGTCAGTATCCTCAATTTTTCATTTCCTTTTTTGTTTTTACTTTAAGGCTGAATGGGGAATTCCAACTTGATCTCTTCTAACATTGAGACATTTAAGGAGACATTTACATGGTTCTCTGCACGGGACAACACAAAATTTGGAGATAGTATTGATGGTTGTTACCTTTTGAGTTAGATAAAGTTGTTTAAGGCTTGCAGATTTCAAGGAGTTAATTAGATGCACTTAATGTACACTAGCCGCTTTCTCTGAGTTCCAAACAAAAACTCAATAGAGAGGAGAAGAGGAAGAAGTGTCGCTACCCCTCCTCCCCTCTCCTCTCTTCTTTCTTTTTCTTTCGCGTTAGTGAATAAGTTCACTGGGCCGTTTTGAATAGAGCCTTGTGGTGATCTCTTTTGAGCGATGCTCAGATCAAAGTTCTCCAACACCTCTTTTGGCCTAATTCCTCAATCAAATCCTTTTCCTAAAACCCTCTCTCATCTTTGCTAAATTTACGTCAACCTCGCATTAATTTGAAGGAGTTTATTGCAATTCCCGATTGGTCTGTGCTATGATTGTTCAATTGGCATAGTTGTTCGTTGTTATGCCCAGTTGGATCAATGGAAACCTTGTTTACCCTAGCTATGTCAAAGGGATGCAGTGGTGGGTTTGAAGGCAGTGCTTGTTCAGGTGGAAGTAGGATCCATTATTTGCTTAAAGACTAGGTGAGGCAGTGGGTTTGACGGCGGTGCTTGTTTAGATGGTGGCAGTAAGGTTCAGGTATAGCATCATGTGTTGTATTAAGGTTCTAGTCATTTTTGGTTTTGTAGGCTTTATTTGAGATTATGCTTAATTGTAATAATGTGGGCTAGTAATTGCTGGTGTGTCCCTCGAGCTTGTAATATTGTAGCTCATGAACTTGCCCTAACATTATTGGTTGGAAGCAAAGTCTCCTTCGTTAGTTACCCAAAAAAAAATATAACGTTAAACAACCCCAAAATTAACTAAGTACACCTTATGATCTAAGTATACCCTAATATTTAAATCAAAAAGTAAAATTAACAAAGAACACCCTATTTAACTACCAAAAATACCCCTGATACACCCTAATACACTCTAACACATAACACCAAACCCATTCGAGAGCTGACTACTGAACACTATCAGACCACGAAACCCACCTCTCCAAGATCCATCTTGGATCCCCTCAGGCAAAAACAGTTTACGTTTCTCTAGCCATCTCCCATCTCACAACATTTCTATTATCATCCACCACATCACTACAAGGAAAAACACTTTTGGCGACCACCACTTTTGGTCGCTAAAAGCTGTAAATTCGTCGCCAAACCCCTTTAGCGACGAAATAATTTCGTCGCAAGCTTGGTCGCCTAAGGCTCGTGGCTGAAAGTAAAAGTGACAAAAGGCGACGAAAAAAAAATTTCGTCGCCAAAACCTTTATGCGACCAATTGGTTTCGTCGCCTTACAATGATCAGTTGGTCGCCTATAAAGACAGGTTCCCGCAAAAATACCAAAATTTGCCGCGAACTGAGGAAGGATTGTACGACCAATAGATTGGTTCGTCGCCAATAGTTTTTGGTGACTACCAGATTTGGTCGCTAAGGCTTACTTAGTTGGTTGCTAAAATATGTATATTTAATTATTTTATTTATATTATATTTTATGATAATATTAACCTTTTGTGCATTAACATATTGTAATTTTGAAAAACAATACATTTAGATAAATAGATCAATAGAAACTTACATGAATAAAAATTTCTCTCATTCAAAAGTACACAAGCATCCTAGTGATTCAAGTACACATAACATATCCAAATTCCACTGAAAGACTGGAGGCCAAGCTCCATATATTCTTGCCCTTGGTAAACCCAAGTTCTACAATCATTATTTCTCCACTCTAAGACTATTACCAAGCCTGTATACTATTTCAACAAAACAAAATACATGTATACTATGCCTTTTGTATCCTCAAGTTTTGTAGTCATGATCTTTAATAGGGATTGTGATCTAATATCGTGGAATTCCCAAACACTGTCAATTGTTTGCTTGATCTTCTCAAACTCATCATTTTCCTTTACAAAAGAAACAAAATAAGGAAATGTCAATGGTCAAGAAGATGCCAAAACCAAGAAAATTAAAATTAATATATATAAAGAGAGAGAGAGAGAGAGAGAGAGAGAGAGAGATAGAGAGAGAGAGAGAGAGAGAGAGAGAGAGAGAGAGAGAGCAAAGCTGAAATTCACAATCTTAACTAAATAAGCCATCAAAAAAGAGTTCGACATAAGAAAACTGATTGCAGGTCATCAATAAACCAACTTAAAAAAATTGAATTCATTTTTCATACCTCTCAATATCAACTGTCTAAGCATACCTTTGTGATAATAACAGAAATCAAATCATCAATTACCACAAATAATAAGGAAAACAGTTACGAAAAAACCAATGTAAAGACTAATATGATGCATGGCACAAACCCATTAGAAAACATAAATCATAAAATCCAAAGTATAATCCACACGTTAAATGGAACTAAGTGTAATAGGAAGAAGAGGTTCTTACCTCAAATGGTCCTCTGTCCAAAACCCCAAACCAAATCCTTCCACCTCCTCAAATAAATCTGAGATGGAAAAACAGGATACTACCCTAGTAAAGTTAAAGACACCCTAAATGACATTGTTCTAAACACATTATAAGATAAAGAGAACTGAAGGGTAGATGGTCAGGGGGCATAATGGAAAATAACTCTAAGCCATCAGAAATCTTTGGGGAAAGACAGTGGGTATGGTTATATGAGTACATAGAGGTTATAGAGCTTTTTCTCACAAAGGAAGCATCCCATATTCTATTCAACCTGTTTATGAACTAAAAACAATAACAACAATAGTGCAGAAGTCCTTGGCAGAGCTATGTAGGTATTTTGGTTTAGGACCAGCTTTAATTTAAAATATATTCTTTTTAGTGTTAAAATTAATAAAAACACAAGGACAATGATATATCTAATTGCTCAAACAGAAAAATTATGTTGTGGACCAAAGGGGCAGCAGCAAGGTAAAGTGAAAACAAGCTGCAATACCCAAGCACCTTAAGACTTAATTGCATTTCCTACAAAGAAAGAACTCTAACCCACCTGCAATGCCAATGCCATATCATTTGAAAGTTAAAACACAAAACACTACCTTATCAATCTAAATCACTATAATCATCACTGTGATTACTAGATTGCCATCATTTTGTAATCAATCACAACCTTAACTGGAAGACCTTAGTGCCTAACAATATTTCTTCTTATTATAGTTCATCTTGCACATTTACAAACACATAAATAGGAGCACCATACTACACTAAAATAAAGAGAAAAAGATCAACCTTGTTTATCTTCAAACTACACACTGTTTAGCTAACAGTTTCAATTGGATAATGGGAACAAAATTTTAAGCAAAAATGAGATACACCTCTTTTCGTTAATGAATATAACTCTTAAAAATCAGTTTAGAAATCACTCTCCCTCACTCCCTTTTCCAAATCAATGTCCAAGAAATTAATATAGGTATTTGCAGTCATCAAATAAGTTCACGTGTATAACAGATTCTTAGAAACTTATTGCTTCAAATGAGAATTTGGTTTAGTTTCAAAAAGTAGAAAGCAATTCCTTATAGCTAAATCTTCTAGCCAAATCAAATGGCTACTGCTACATCAAACCAGAGAAAAATAGAAAAATAGAAAATCCAAATCAAATAGGCAATGTATGTTTTTAAATAGCTCCTCAACCTGATTGCTAATTCACAATCTCCATTAGCCAAAATGAGAGTAAAATTTCATCTCAGATGTTTGAAAATCATATACGCAAGTTCAACTTCAAAATCCTAGTCATGTTAGACCCAATCTTTCTTAGGCATTTTCCTACAAGCAAGAAAGCAAAAAACATAAATGTCCAACTTCAAAATCCTAGTCATGTTAGAAAAACTTTCCCAAAGGACATACGTATAATGTATAACAACAACCTTTAGAATACTCGCTTCTTCTCGGTTGAAATTTAAACACTAGCAAAAAGATATTTTAAAGTGGAAACAGGGGAATACAAAATTACATCAATAACATATACTTATTCACAATACATAACAAAATATCTCTTGCAGACTAGAGACCTTATCAATTTAAGTGAATTCATTGAAGTCCTCCGATATATGAAAAGAGAAGGAAAAAAAAATATAATGCAGGGTCTTTAAAAATTAAGTTTCAAAAGAATATGAGCCAAACAAGAATTTTTAAAAGGCACAAGAAAGAAATAAAATGGTGGCATAATTTTTTATTTCTAATAAAGAGGGAAAACAAAGGATGCTCAAACCTACCATCTGC